GGCTTGACACCTTGATCTCCATCGTAGCATCATTGTCGTCTCGCCAACTATTGCTTCTCCGACTATCGCTGCCGCTTAGTGATAAGGTAAAGCAATTACATGGCGATTGCATTTCATACAATAAAGCGACAACCATATGGCTCATGCCAGTTGCCGATACCTGTTACAAAACATGATCATCTCATACAACAATTTATATATCATCACGCCTTGACCATATCACATCACAACATGCCCTACAAAAACAGGTTAGACATCCTCTACTTTGTTATTGCAAGTTTTACGTGGCTGCTACGGGCTTCTAGCAAGAACCGTTCTTACATACGCATCAAAACCACAACTATTTTTGGTCAAGTGTGCTATTTTAACCTTCAACAAGGACTGGGAGTAGTCAAACTCGATTCAACTAAAGCTGGAAAAACAGACACCCGCTAGCCACCTGTGTGTGCAGCACGTCAGTAGAACCAGTCTCATGAACGCGGTCATGTAATGTCGGTCTGGGTCACTTCATCCAACAATACCGCCGAATCAAAGTAAGACGCGGCTGGTAAGCAGTATGACCATTATCGCCCACAACTCATTGTGTTCTACTCGTGCATATAACATCTACGCATAGACCTGGCTCGAATGCCACTGTTGGGGAACGTAGTATTTCAAAAAAATTCCTACGATCATGCAAGATCTATCTAGGAGAAGCATAGCAACGAGCGGGGAGGGTGTGTCCACGTACCCTCATAGACCGAAAGCGGAAGCGTTTAGTAACGTAGTTGATGTAGTCGAACGTCTTCGCGGTTCAAGCGGTCCAAGTACCGAACGTACGGCACCTCCGCGTTCAGCACACGTTCAGCTCGATGATGTCCCTTGAGTTGTTGATCCAGTTGAGGCCGAGGGAGAGTTTCCTCAGCACGATGGCGTGACGACGGTGATGATGAAGTTACCGACACAGGGCTTCACCTAAGCACTACGACAATATGACCGAGGTGTGTAACTATGGAGGGGGGCACCGCACATGGCTAAGAGAAGACTTGGTGTGTCTTTGGGGTGCCCCCCTCCAACGTATATAAAGGGGGGAGGAGAGATAGCTGGCCCTAGGGGGCGTGCCATGGGGGGAGTCCTACTTGGACTCCCGATCCAAGTAGGATTCGCCCCCCCTTCCTAGTCCAAGTAGGAGAAGAAGGGGAGGGGGAAGAGAAGAGAAGGAAGGAGGGGGGTACCGCCCGCACCCCTTGTCCAATTCGAACTGGGCAAGGGGGGGCGCCACCTCTGGCCGGCTCTCTCTCTTCTCCACTAAGGCCCATGGTGGCCCATTAACCTCCGGGGGGGGTCCGGTAACCCCTGGTACTCCAAAACTTATCTGAAACGATCCGAACCATTCCGATGTCCGAATGTAGCCTTCCAATGTATGAATCTTTATGTCTCGACCATTTCAATACTCCTCGTCATGTCCGTGATCTCATCCGGGACTCCGAACAAACTTTGGTTCATCAAAACATGAAACTCATAATACAAATCGTCATCGAACGTTAAGCGTGCAGACCCTACGGGTTCGAGAACTATGTAGACATGATCGAGACATATCTCCGGTCAATAACCAATAGCAGAACCTGGATGCTCATATTGGTTCCTACATATTCTACGAAGATCTTTATCGGTCAAACCGCATAACAACATACGTTGTTCCCTTTGTCATCGGTATGTTACTTGCCCGAGATTCAATCGTCGGTATCATCATACCTAGTTCAATCTTGTCACCGGCAAGTCTCTTTACTTGTCACGTAATGCATCATTCCGTGACTAACTCATTAGTCACATTGCTTGCAAGGCTCATAGTGATGTGCATTATCGAGAGGGCCCAGAGATACCTCTCCGATACACCGAGTGACAAATCCTAATCTCGATCTATGCCAACTCAACAAACACCATTGGAGACACCTGTAGAGCATCTTTATAATCACCAAGTTATGTTGTGACGTTTGATAGCACACAAGGTGTTCCTCCAGTATTCGGGAGTTGCATAATCTCATAGTCTGAGGAACATGTATAAGTCATGAAGAAAGCAATAGCAGAAAAACTAAACAATCATTATGCTAAGCTAACGGATGGGTCTTGTCCATCACATCATTCTCTAATGATGTGATCCCGTTCATCAAATGACAACACATGTCTATGGCTAGGAAACTTAACCATCTTTGATTAACGAGCTAGTTAAGTAGAGGCATACCAGGGACACTCAGTTTGTCTATGTATCCACACATGTACTAAGTTTTCGGTTAATACAATTCTAGCATGAATAATAAACATTTATCATGATATAAGGAAATATAAATAACAACTTTATTATTGCCTCTAGGGCATATTTCCTTCAGCTGTTGCATGTAGGTTTCTTGAGGATTGCATTTCCATCAATTGGCAGAAAAACGGTCCTCACCAGAGCCTCATTCCATGAACCCGTCACCTGATATAGAAGCTTAGTGATAAGCCTCGTCGGGTCAGCCACTAAAGATGTTATGGGCCTTGGTGTAGTCTCCTTTGGAATCCAGTGGTCTGTCCAAATATCCGTTGTTTGGTCGTTGCCTATTCGGTGGCTGATTCCTTGCTTAAGCAAGTCCCGCCCTCCAATTATGGATCTCCAAATTTGGGATGGTCTGCTTGCGAGCTCCGCCTTGATGATGTTCCCCTCAGGGAAATATGAAGCCTTTAGAATTCTTGCACTCAAAGTGTTCGATTGTTGCATATTATTCTCCAGGCTTGTCTACCAAGTAACGCAACGTTAAAAATCTCAAGATCTTTAAAACCGAGCCTGCCCAGACTCTTGGGTCTTGTCATAATGTCCCATGAGACCCAAGCTGGTTTACGCTCTCCCGATTTACATCCCCACGAAAACTTTTGTATGATGGATTTGAAATGATCACATAAACCCCCCGGGAGCTTGAAACATGACATAGAGTACACCGGAATCACTTGAGCCATTGATTTAATGAGAACATCCTTTCCTCCAACAGAAAGGCATTTGCTCATCCATCCTTTCACCTTGTCCCATACTCTATCACTTAGGTATTTGAAAGTTCCCTTCTTCGAGTGCCCCACATCTGTCGGCATTCCCAAGTACCTGTCACCCAAAGATTCCTTAGGAACATTAAGGAACCCTTTGCCGCACTTGCTTTGCATTGGGAGAGCGGGGTTCGAATCCCATGGGCAGCCCCAATTTCTTTTCTCCTTTTTCTTTCATTAGTCGCTACACACGAATGGGCTAGCCCAATTAGTAGACCCTTCAGTGAGACGTCCCCGTGTGCTCGTGTAAGGCGATAAATAGTCGTCGCACCCAGCCCCTGTGTGCTACCCTTGGTCCAGTGTTCCTCCTTCATGACCCCGCGACTTCCGCTTGCTGCTGGCCGCCGTGCTTTTCCAGCCAAGCGCAGTTGCACCGCCTTGCTTGGGCCTCTCCTAGCCCAGGACTGCTTCCCGCCTCTGCCCGAAATCACTAAGTACTCCTTGCAAAGATCACTTCCACCCCGGGTTGTGACAAGTGGCACGCTGCATGTGTGCCACTTGTCGCAACCCCAGAGTTTCTTTTTTTCGTAGATTCGTTTTCTCAAAATGCTTTATCTCTTAAACTGTGCGTCCAAATCTCGAAATATTTTCATCGTTAGATTCCTTGCGTCGAGATCTTTAAAACTAGATCTCATATTGATAAATTTTGATGAACCTTTTTTAAGAAAAAAACTGGACAAAAATACCGAACCATGCATCTCGAGGAAGCAAAACCGTGTCTCTCGCGGAAGGAAAAAACAGAAAACATGTTTTTTTTTTGTTTTCGAGAGGCACGGCCGTGCCTCTCGCAAAAGAAAAAAACAGAAAACATGTTTTCCCCCGTTTTCGAGAGGCACGGGCGTGCCTCTCGCGAAAGCACAATCATGCCTCTCGCGGAAGGAAAAAGAATAAAAACTCGTCTTTTTTTCCGTTTTCGAGAGGTACCGTCGTGCCTCTCCAGAAGCAAAACTACGCATCTCGCAGAAGCAAAAAAACACGTTTTCGTGCGCGAGTTTTTCTGTACAAAAGCTAATGAAGACGGTGAAAAGCCAAAAAGTTGAAAAAAGAAGAAAAACCCGTTTAAAAGCTGAAAACATGTACGGAAAAATAATAAAAAATAAAATTCGAAGGAAGCGTCTAGAGCGCGACACGTAGCGACGACTGAGAGCGCGACAAATAAGCCCTCCCCCAAGTAATCGTTGCGAGGCTTCCGAAAAAGCGCTCGTCAACTAGTTGCTCCCGCCTATGCCTGCCACCGTTGTTGCCTGCAAGGGCTAGCCGCCCAGGTTAGTTAATCATTTTTTTATTCTTGCATAGGGTTAGTTAATTACTTGCTGGCTGCTAACTTCACGCTTGGCTTGCTCCTATTGCTTACTTCATCATGAAAATTGAACTGAAGAACTGTGCGTATGACAGTATGTGTTAGCGTTACTCATCAGTCCTGTATGTATTGTTGGTCACAAATTGATTTTGTCTGAACAAATGGACACAAATTGATGTACTTTTAAATCTATGCCGTTTCACGTGATAGAAAGATGAATAGGTTTATTGAGTAATTAAGCTTTATTAGTTTAGTTTGTACTGTTTTCGCATGTTTTCTTAAGTGTGGTGGGGTATTTTTAGGTTGCTATAAGTAACCAAAAAATTACACGGGGTTTCTTCAATCCTGGCTCATTCAATTATACTGTTTCTCGACATTCATTAGTAGTAGTAATAATAATAATAATTTTATAACAGTAAGATCGGTGGCTACTGGCTAGCAATTGTTTTCCCTTTTTGAGAACTATAATGGGCTAGCAAATGTCTGGGCTACTAATGGTTCTGCTTGTGGCCTACCTTTTTACGGGCTGCTATTTGTTGCACTGGGCCTCTACCTATAGAACCCAAAATGAGAAGCCCGTAAACGGCAGCCAACCCGGCGCCTCCTCATCCGTCATTCCGTCGAGCAACTCAGACGCGCCGCCGTTGCTATGCTTCTCCGACCCCGCCCCTTCCTCCTGCAGGCCCTCACGCCTCTTCCCTTCTCCCGCGGCCCCCTCGCGGTCCGCCGCACGCTCTCGGCGCACGCCGCGGCAGCTGGGGCCGCCCCCCGCGGCGATGCTCCCGCGCCGGCGCGAACCCGCCACAAGAACTCCCGGAAGGCCGAGCCGCCTAGGTTGCCCGCGGATACGGCGCTGTTTTTCCCGCCGGGGATAGACCGGGACGCGGCTGTGGCGGCGGAGATGTTGATTCCGGGGTCGAACATCGTGGTGGGGCCGTACGCCGGGGACGCGAGGGTAAAGGAGGCTGAGTTCATCGGGTGCAGCGCGCACGCCCGGGACTGCCCCAAGGACGACCGTCCCGAGTTCGCCGTCCTCGGCCGCTCCAACGTCGGCAAGTCCTCTCTCATCAATACACTCACTCGACGCAAGGAAGTCGCACTCACCTCCAAGAAACCTGGTAAGCATCTTTCTTTGGTTGTAGAGATGTTCTTAGTTTCGTATTGTATGCAGTTACTCAGTGAGTTGGTGGTTTTGGTGCCCGACATGGCAAAATGTGTTTGTTGCCCTCTAGAATAGCTAGTGGTTAAATTTGCCAAAGTAAGGGCATCTCTAGCCGATCCCCTAAAAAATAGAGTAAACCGCTGATTAGCTATATTGGAGTAAATTTACTCCACTAAGTTTTGGCCGGACCTAGCCTACTCCTAAATTTAGTGGAGTAAAACTTTCTTGGCTTATGCATTTCGCCGAACACTTGCCATGCGTCTCCCCGGCGAGCGGCGACGATGGTGACCACGCCGGCGGCGCGCCACCGACCACACGTTTGTCACCGAGCCGGTATGTGCCAGCTAAGACCACGGCGGAGTTGACTGTCAGCGACACCCAATACAACACGCTGCCGTAGGCCTTCTTTCGCCAGGCACCCGCGTGACCTTCTCCACAGCCGTCTCCGCCTGCCGCAAGATGTTCCCAGACAACGGCGGCTTCAACTGGTCGGCGCATGACAGCACGGACTACATGTCCAACCTTGACGCCGGCACCTTCGTTCTAAACCAGCGGCGGCCAACAACAACGACCTGTTCAAGCTCCTTCTTGCGAGTACGTACACCCGCAAGGTCGCCGGCGAGGCCCGAAGTCAACACCGAGGGAGTACACGACAGGAGGCTTCACGCGAGTCGCCAGGCAGCCGCACACGCGAAGAAAAGTTTTACTCCAGCTGGCCACGGAGGACTATATTTACTCATCTGGGAGGCCAACGAGTAAATATTTTACTCCTCTAACCGGTTTAGGAGATCAGCTAGGTGCCGGTTAGAGGAGTAAAACTGAAATTTGACTCATCTATAGCTTTTTAGGGGATCGGCTAGAGATGCTCTAAGTTGGTCTTCTTTAATGAATACACGAGCTCTCGTAATTACTCTCGGCTTGAGATGAAAATGTAATTATGCTGCACGCTTGGTCATGCTCTGTTTGTGTTATGGTGGTTTTCAACTGTATTTTCGTGATAATTGATAATTGTTCTTTAAGTATGGACATGTTTATTGCCTTATCAATTTGTTTTGATGAGAGTGTATTATTTCATTGATCCTATAGAAAATTTCTTGGATTTATGCTACTGCCATTTTTACCTTTTTGAAAAGGAGTGTAAATCCCCAACCTATGCATCGGGTGATGCATGCAGTCATCTTATTGCGGAAGTTCTTCTCCCAGCTTCTGCACCTATTAGGGATGCACACAGCATTTTTTAGATAAAAGGCATGAGCAGCGCCCGGCTTCGGCTTTAAATTAATAAAGCCCCAACATCAGACCAAAGGAGTAACAAGGTCACTGATTACATAGACAAGCGGAAATCGAACCAGTAAAACACCAAGAAGCAGTTCGAAACACAGCCTTTGAAATATGAGTACGAATATTTGTATCTTGATGGGTGGAGTAGTGCACACATTCCTCCACCATGCTAGGTACCAATCCTGATCCTTATGAAAATAGATGGAGAAAATCTCCTGTGCATCATTAGTCTAACTGCATTCCCAACCACTGAGCCAAGGCTCCATGTTTGAATTTACTTTACTGCTAACTTGTCCTTTTATTGTTGTTAAATATCATATCTGGGACTGATCATATATTTTGCAGGGAAGACTCAAACAATTAACCACCATTTGATCAACAAGAGTTGGTACCTTGTGGATTTGCCTGGTTATGGGTATATTCACTTTCTTCACCCGCACTACTAGTTTATTGCATTGTATGAAGCTGCAACTGATTAATTTGAAGGAGCTTAGTTTTTGTAAGAACATATGATTAATAAGTAAAAGCAGCTCATGTTCTTCAGGAGTTGAATAGTCACATCCTCTGTTTTTTTTCTTATTCATTTGCATACCTGTTCTTGATGCAATGTCATTTATGTGTTCATGTGTGATGTAAGTGAATGTCACCGTAATCATACAAACATAATGCCTTGGAAGCTCAATACATTATGTCCTACAAGCTTTCCAGCAGTAAGTTCAATACACAACTGACAGCTACCAATTATTTCTACTTCAAACTGCAGACATTGAATAGCATAAGGGATGCCTAAAAAAGAGGATATGATATGCCGGAGTCTTTTAGATGAGTTCAGTTCTGTTGACAGTGTGTCTTCGAAGCCCTTCCATGTTTTTTTTTTGTCAACTCCAATATTAGATTTAGAACAGACATAAGCTCTGTCAACTTCTGAATAAGTTGCCGTCTGATTGTAATTGCTGAGGATATAGCGATTACTACATACTGCATGAAGCAACAATGTTTAAATAGGAACTCAAAAAGAACTACTAGTGTTAATTCTCCATTCTCATATTCATATTATCTTTTCATACTCGTTAGGGCATTTTCCCAGCAAGAAGTACTCAGCATACTTAAGTATTTACCTGGCCTACGCAGTGAACATGATCAGATCAAGTTCTTCCAACATGTAGGTTTGCAGCTGCGTCCAAGACAGCTCGAACGGATTGGTCTTCATTTACCAAGGGGTATTTCTTGAACAGGGACACTTTGGTCGGTGTACTGCTCCTTGTTGATGCTAGTGTTCCAACTCAGCAAATTGACCTTGACTGTGCTAACTGGCTTGGTCGTAACAATGTGAGACAACTTACTCTTCAGCTGATAATGTATCTTATATATGCTGGTTGTGGACTTAAATGTCAAGTAACTTATAACTTATAGTAACACTGATCTCCAGCAACTATCTGCTATTCTATTGTTTTGGTGTCACAGGTCGGGCTAACCTTTGTCTTCACCAAGTGCGACAAAGTAAAGAAAGGCAAAGGGGGTCGGCCTGATGAGAACATCAAAGTATTCCTGGAGAACATCGGTTCGCTCTATCCAAAGCCTCCTCCATGGATCATGACGAGCAGCACCACAGGACTAGGCCGCGACGGGCTGCTCCTCCATATGTCGCAGCTGAGGAACTACTGGGACAATGAGGCGACCTAGGTCAGGGTTTCTTCAGGCTTTGAATAGGCTTGAGGCAGCTGCAGCTAGGAGCAGCACTACTTACAGACGAGAGTAGCACAGACCGATACATCCTGCCCGACGACACGCAGTTTCTTCCAGTTTCTGGACTTCAGATCATGCTTTGTGTAAACTTCAGGTTCAGATGTACAGTATAGTGGAAGATGATTCATACGCAGACTTGATACAGTAATACCGCGCCCCTTTTGGTCTGTGCTTGTTGTAATATTTGGCTCACCTGCGGAAGTAAAGTCTCGTCCACTTGTTACGATTTCTGAACGCAATGGGCCGATCTGGAACTGTACATTTATACCACTCCAGTGTGGCGAAGGCAGCCCAGCAGATTCAATGTACTGCTGCACATTGAATTGCACGGAAATTAATTTGTTGCGCACGCTTTACTGCCCGACAGACTACATGGTCTAGTACGAGTGGCCATTAAAATTCGATTAAATCCAGATTTCCGGTGGCGGTACCACTGTACCGTGGTTAGTACATACGCGCCGGCCTTTTTTGTGGCGCTCTCGCTTTGAACAGCGGGGACATGGGCACAGTTACCATGTCCCACCGGAACTGCGGAGCCGGCCAGGCAGGGAAAACGGAAAGCGAGGCGTGCACGGACGACTGGTGACCGGAGATGTTTCTCTTTCGCCGGGCGGGGCTGGCTGGCTGGCTCGCCGATCCCCCAGCTCCGCCGGCCCGGTGGCTCCACCGGCAGCGAAGAGGTGATGCCCATGGTATGCCGTGCCATGTGTTCCTGTGGTTCTATTTGGGTTTTCTGAAGCAGGCGGCGTCCGGAGTGCAGAGCCGAGCTCTGAAAAGCCGGGAGAATGGCCAGCGTCAACTCGCCGGAACTTTTTTGTAGGAGTAGTTCGTTGCTTTGCTGTGTTCAGAAAATAAAAAAGGTCGTTGCTGGGCGAGAGGTGAGGGAGACCGGGGGTCAATCAAGCGGCCCCATGCCCTGCTGCCGCTGACTGTGGGGGCAGCCGCAGGTGGGCCGATGGGCCACATGCTCCCACCCTTGTCCCCTTTTCTCATCAGGCCTCTCCTCCGTCCCTCTCTTCCCTTGCTCTATCGGGCCCAGTGCACAGGAACTGTGAGGGTGCCCTTGTCCCTCTGCAACCACATCGCTACGGCGCTCCCCTCAAAAAAAAAAACACATCGGTACGGCGTTAGTACCAAGTAGTAGTAGTAGGTTCACCTCAAAAAAAAGTAGTAGTAGTAGGCAAAATTGCCTCGAAAAAAAAGGGTTGACGAATCGCAAATGCCCACTAAAAGGAAAGCCAAGTAGTCCAGAGTTTTTTTTTATATCCAAGTAGGCAAGAGTTTACCAGCGGGGAGGGAGGCAGAAACCCAAAGAGGAAGCAAGGGAGCACCAACCAATCCTAACGCCCAAGCTGGAGTAAATTGTTGGTGTGCGACTAGACGAAAAGTTGCGATGCTGTTACAGTACTATCTTGCTTCACAATCACAACACGGCAGCAGCCAGTCAGCTCCTTTCCCCGCACGCCACCTCTATATACATTATACATATACCGATCTGGTTTGAAACTGGTTCTCACGTTTATTATCGGTCAGGGGTACCAACATGGTTTGTCAGATCTACAGCTTATAACTGCCGCGAGCAGCATGCAAGCAGGGGTAAGCTGATTAGCGGGGATTCGTAAAGAATATTCAGGCACCATAAAAAGGCATTTCCTAGTTGAATCGTTGCATGAACGACCGCGGTTTACAACGATGCCTTTTTTGATTCATAGGGTAGAAAAATTATAGAAATAAAAAAGTCATAAAAAATGAAATAACATGCATCTCAAATCCTATGAATAGAAATAGAAAAGAAGATGTCCTTTGTTTCACATTAAAGAATTTTTTCCA